GGCCTCTTCAGCCGCCGCTGGCTCCCGGGGCTGCTCCCCCTTGGCTCCCAGCAGACCTCACGAAGACGGAGGCGAGGAGGAGGACCAGGACGGTGAAGAGCTCCCATGGGTTGAGATAAGAACAGTCCAGTAACTAAGGTATAACACAAACCACTACTGCTACCACCAATAATAATAATGATAAGGGAAATAACAAGGGAAGAGAATACAACCTCTCACCACCCACTGACCGATACCCAGCCCAACAGAGCAGTGACCTAGCCCTTCTGGGTAACTGCCTGCAGTTCTACACCCTGGGCATGATGTGCTGTGGGATGGAATACCTCTTTGGCTTGTTTAGGACAGGTGTCCTACCTCTGCTTCCTCCCGGCTTCCCCTCCTCTCTGGCAGAGCATGAGACTTAGAAAGTCCTTGGTCAGAGTAAACATTCTGACCACAATTAAAACCATCGGTGTTATCAGCGCTGTTCCCAGGCTGAAAGTCAAAACCACAGCACTGCACCAGCTACTAAGAATGAGAAAAATGACTGCTACTGCTGAACCCAGGACAGCCAGTAACTCAGAGCTACGCAACAACTTGCTCACTCCCCCCACTTCTTCCTCCCCCCTGTTCCTGGAGGGACAGGGAGGAGAATCGAAAGAATGTAAATCCCACTGGCTGAGATAAGAACAGTCCAGTAACTAAGGTACAATACAAAACTACTACTGCTGCCACCAATAATAATAACTGAAATAACAAGGCAAGAGAATATAAAACTAAGAGGAAAAGGAAAACAATGAACACAAGTGATGCCCAATGAAACTGCTCATCACCCGTCGACTGATATCCAACCTGACCCAAGCAGCAATCTGGGCCTTCCAGGTAACTCCCCCCCATTTTATATATAGGGCATGATGTGCTGTGGTACAAAATACTCCTTCGGCTACTAGGTCAGGTGTCCTGTCTCTACTTCCTTCTGGCTTCCCGTGCCCTTCCTCAGTGGCCGAGTATGAGATTGAAAAGTCCTTGATCAGAGTACGCATTACTTAGCAACAACTAAAACATTGGTGGTGTGTCATGGTTTAAACCCAGTCAGGCAACTTGTTCACTCACTCCCCCCCTTCTTTCCCTCCCCCTACTCCCAGAGGGACAGAGAGGAGAATAGAAAAGAATGCAACTCCCACAGGTTGAGATAAGAACAGTTTAGTAACTAAAGTATAACACAAATCACTACTGCTACCACCAATAATAATAATGATAAAGGAAATAACAAGGGAAGAGAATACAACACCTCACCACCAGCTGACCGATAACTTGCCCCACCCCACCAGCCCAAGCACCCACCGATACCTCCTCCAACCCTGCTGTCCTAGCCCTTCCGGGTAACTCTCACATCCTGGGCATGACGTGCTGTGGTATGGAATACCTCTTTGGTAAGTTTGGGTCAGGTGTCCTGTCTCTGCTTCCTCCCAGCTTCCCCTTCTCCCTGACAGACTATGAGGCTCACAAAGTCCTTGGCCAAACCAAAACATCATTGTTATCAGCTCTGTTCCCAGGCCAAAAGTCAAAACACAGCACTGCACCAGGTACCAAGAAGGAGAAAAATGACTGCTACTGCTGAACCCAGGACAGTGTGTTATCAGCACTGTTCTCAGACTGAAGTCGAAAACACAGCACTGTAGCAGCTACTATGAAGTAGAAAAATAACTGTTACAGCTGAACCCAGGACAGCATGCCTGAAGGGCTACAACCTCATTGACATCATGGAGACATAGTGGGATGCCTCCTACAACTACTGTCAGAATGGAAAGATACAGGCTCTTCAGGAAGGACAGGCTGGCGAGACAGGGGGAGGAGGTCAAGAATGCCAGGTGGCCCATGTGGATGAATAAGGAGATCCTGGACAAATGCCAGCATTAAAAGGAGGCCAACAGAGGGTGGAATCAAGGATTGGTAGCCTGGAAGGAATACAGAGAAATAGTCAGAGCAGCCAGGGATCAGGTTAAGAAAGCTAAAGCCCTGACAGAACTCAATCTGGCCAGGGACATTAAGGGCAACAAGAAAAACTTCTATAGGTATATTGGGGGTAAAAGGAAGACAAGGGAAAATGTGGGCCCCCTCCAGAAGGAAACTGGAGACCTGGTCACCCAGGACATGGAAAAGGCCAAAGTACTCAATAACTTTTTTCCTCAGTCTTCACCAGCAAGAGCTCCAGCCCCACTGCCCATGTTACAGAAGGCAAAGGCAGGGACTGGGAGAATGAAGAACCACCTGCTGTAGAAGAAGATCAGGTTCAAGATCATCTAAGGAACCTGAAGGTGCACAAGTCCATGGGACCTGATGAGATGCATCTGTGGGTCCTGAGGGAACTGGCAGATGGAGTTGCCAAGCCATTATCTATCATATTTGAGAAGTCGTGGCAGTCCGGTGAAGTTCCTGCTGACTGGAAAAAGGGAAATATAACCCCCATTTTCAAGAAAGGGAAAAATGAATGACCCAGGGAACTACAGACCAGTCAGTCTCACCTCGGTGCCCAGCAAGATCATGGAGCAGATTCTCCTGGAAACTACGCTAAGGCACATGGAAAATAAGAAGGTGAATGGTGACAGCAAACATGGATTCACTAAGGGCAAATCATGCCTGAAAAATTTGGCAGCCTTTTGCAATCCAGCCATGGTGCTGGCAGTTAAGTGAAGACTGACTGATGTCATCTGCTGGGACTTGTGCGAGGCATTTGACAATGCCCCACGCAACATCCTTGTCTCTAAACTGCGGAGGCATGGATTTGACAGATCGACTATCTACAGGATAATGAACTGGTTAGATGTTCAGACTCGAAGTGTTGTGGTCAACAGCTCGATATCCAAGTGGAGACCAGTGACAAGTGGCATCCCTCAGGGGTCGGTGTTGGGACCGATCTTGTTCAACATCTTTGTCGGCAACATGGACAGTGGGAATGAGCGAACCCTCCACAAGTTTGCCAATAACACCAAGCTGTGTGGTGCAGTCAACACACTGAAGAGAAGTGATGCCATCCAGAGGGACCTTGACAGGCTCAAGAGGTGGGCCAACACAAACCCCATGAAGTTCAACAAGGCCAAGTGCAAGGTCCTGTACCTGGCTCATGGCAATCTCAAGCACAACTACATGCTGAGCGGATACTGGATTGAGAGCAGCCCTGAGGAGGATTTGAGAGCATTGGTTGATGAGAAGCTCAATATGAGCCAGCAGTGTGAGCTTGCAGCCCAGAAACCGAACCATATCCAGGGCTGTATCAAAAGGAACATGGCCAGCAGGTTGAGGGAGGTGATTCTCCCCTTCTACTCTGCCCTTGTGAGACCCCACATGGAGTACTGCATTCAGCTCTGGGTCCCCCAACACAAGAGGGACATTGGTCTGCTCAAGTGAGTCCAGAGGAAGGCCACAAACATGTTCCGATGGCTGGAGCATTTCTCCTATGGAGACAGGCTGAGAAAGTTGAACTTGTTCAGCCTGGAGAAGAGAAGACTCGAGGGAGACCTTCACAGTATTCCAATACCTAAAGGGGGCCTACAAAAAATCTGAAGAAGGACTTTTTACAAGGGCCTGTAGCGGTAAAACAAGGGGTAATGGTTTTAAACTGAAAGAGGGGAGATTTAGATTAGACATTAGGAAGAAATTCTTTATTATGAGGGTGGTGAGACATTGGAACAAGTTGCTCAGAGAAGCTGTGGCTGCCCTGTCCCTGAAAGCATTCAAAGGTTGGATGGGGCTTTGAACAACCTTGTCTAGGGTGAGGTGTTGTCCTGGGTTCAGCTGTAATAGTTATTTTTCTCTTTCAGAACAGCCACCTAAGGCTTTCTTTTATAAACTGCTCAAGAAAAAAAAAAGGGGGGGGGGGGGAGGGAGACAAGTTTGCATTTCTCAATTCCCCTGAATTATAAAAAAATCCTTTATTTTTTAAAGGAATTACATCTAGAACCTGACAAGTTTGGCAAGTTTTACTTTACTCCACAGCTCTATATAGGCCTCTATTAGAACTGATGGGAATGGTTCTGAAGTAGCTGAGCACAAAGATAGACTTGCTCAGTTTCAGTCATTTTTATATAGAGAAAGCGAACAGCTCTAATTAGAAAGGATATACAGCTATGCCACATTTAACTAATTCACTTTATATAAAAATGCTATATAAATTCAACACTCAATTTAAAGAATAACTATAGATTATATACTTTGTAGTATAAGGAAATTATTTACTGATTTATGATTAGGACTTTCATATACTACAGCAAAATTACAGTCAATACCAATTCTGAAGAAAAATGTGCACTTCAGAATCAACTAACTTTTCAAGTCTGCTTGTTAGGAAATTCAGTGCTTTACATACAGCAAAAACATGAAGCTGAAATACACGTGCAATCTTCCTTTTTAATACTCATTATCCCAGTTATAAATTTGATTTCAATTTCTGTATGGAAAAATATGGAAAGAAGTTAGGCTAATCAAAGATAAACCTTACAAAATGCTTTAAATGCATTTTCTCTTTCTAAATTTCAATCACATCATCACTTTCAAAAGAATTTGCTTATTCTAAGCCCTTGCATCAAAAGTGTTATTTCATAATATACTCACACACAAGCGGATATCCCCACCTATTTTCCTAATAATTTCCTCCCCCCCCCCCCCATAATATTAATGGAAAACCTTAAGCCATTTTTCTGGTTTGTACCACTACTACCCAACTGTGCTCTGGCCAGAATATGGACTGGGAAGAAGGAAAAAAATATAACTGAAGTCACTGGCAAACACCAGGCCAGACTTACCCTCTCACTTTGAGAAGTCCCCCTGACATCTTAAGAACAGCACCTATGTTGTCAGAGGAGTGCAAAGGGCAGAGAACTAGAGGCAGGACTGGAAGAACCCCTTGTCTTCTAAACTTCAGGTAAAATATAATTTGTACATGATGTATAATTTTTAGAGACCTTTAGTATATTTCCTAAAGATAAGAGGAAAAGTTTCAACTATGGAAACAAAAATCTCACCTTATTATATTCATACTTGTATGGGATTTTGAGGGTATCCATGGCTCTGATCATGGCCTGCACTGCTGTAAATATATTCTGGTACACCAATTTTGTAAAGCCCCTTTTGTCTTCATCAGAGTAACCTGATCCATGAATGATTCTCATTTGTTTGATGAACGTGCTTTTGCCACTCTCTCCTGTGCCTGCAAGACAAATAAAAACATACTTCAGCTACTGGACACAAGTATGACTTTCCTGCACAAAGCAGACAGCTTGTTCAGTGCAGGGAAGAAAACTGTCAAGTGGTTATGGTATTTGCAAAGTGCTTCCTACAAGGACCAGTTCAATATCAAAACAGCAGCAACACAGTAATAACTGAGGCAACACTGAATTAAAACTTTTACTTTGAAGAAGAATAAGAAAATGGAAGTAGAAAAACAAAATATTACAATGAGTTAATAACTAAATTAATAACTAAAACAAAATATACACTCCAATATATCTACAAATACCATTGCATATTTAAAGTTATAAGCATAAATTTCCATTCCTGAAGATAAAGTTCTAAAGAACAACTAACTTGAGAGAATTACTGTGAGATGTTCTATCACAAAAAGTCATAGAGTAAGAAACAAAAATTATATTGCTGGGACAACCTTCAGGACATTATGATAAGCAGCAATATACAATCAATACACAAATTTGTTAGAAAGCCAAATAATATAACAATTACAGTACCACAAACTTCAAACTCAGAAATTTATGAAATAAGCTTTAATTAAAATTTGGCTCATATTTCTTAATTGAGAGTCACTGATTCCTTTAATTTTTTTTGCATCTTTCTACTTTACACAAAACACAAGTAATATTTTTTAAGTTAACATTCTGAATGTTTAATAATTTAAAATTAAGATCTGCTTGTTGGGAATTTCGCATAGACTATACCATTAAATCATACAACAGTTCGGGTTAAAAGCCCCTTCCCCCCCTTCCTTCCCCCCCCGCTCACGGAGGGATGGGGAAGAGAATCAAAAGAATGTAACTCCCACGGGCTGAGATAAGAACAGTAAGAACAGTCCAGTAACTAAGGTATAACACAAACCACTGCTGCTACCACCAATAATAATAATAATAATGATAAGGGTAATAACAAGGGATGACAATACAACCGCTCACCACCCACTGACTGATACCCAGCCCGACCCGAGCAGAGATCTGGGCCTTCTGGGTAACTGCCCCCAGTTTATATACTGGGCATGACGTGCTGCGGTATGGAATATCTCCTTGGGCAGTTTGGGTGAGGTGTCCTACCTCTGCTTCCTCCCGGCTTCCCCTCCTCCCTGGCAGAGCATGAGACTCAGAAAGCCCTTGGTCAGAGTAAATATTCTGACCAGCAACTAAAAACATTGGTGTTATCAGTGCTGTTCCCAGGCTCAAAGTCAAAACCACAGCACTGCACCAGCTACTAAGAAGGAGAAAAATGACTGCTACTGCTGAACCCAAGACAGTATCCACCCCTTATTCCATATCATTCATGTCATACTGAGATCCCACATTTTCAATAGACCATCACTCTTATATCATATATATACATGTATATATACGTCCACACAGAGAGAGAGATCATTCCTTAGTGCATGGACCAATCCCTATAAAGCTGCTGAGTCCATTTGGTCCATGATGTCGGGCTCCATTTCTTGTAACACTCTTTCAGATCAGTACAGACAGCGTGAGGTAGGCAATTTGCCAGGCCTCCTCATATTGTACTTCAGCCATCATCCTCCATACCAAAGAGGCTTTAACAGTTTGGCTTCACACAGTATCACAGTATCACAGTATGCTAGAGATTGGAAGGGACCTCGAAAGATCATCTAGTCCAATCCCCCTGCCAGAGCAGGAACACCTAGATAATGTTACACAGGAATGTGTCCAGGCGGGTTTTGAATGTCTCCAGAGAAGGAGACTCCACAACCTCCCTGGGCAGCCTGTTCCAGGGTTCTGTCACCCTCACTGAGAAGAAGTTTCTTCTCAAGTTTAAGTGGAACCTCTTGTGTTCCAGTTTGTACCCATTACCCCTTGTCCTATCATTGTTTGCCACTGAGTAGAGCCTGGCTCCATCCTCGTGACACTCCCCCTTTATATATTTATAGACACTTATAAGGTCACCCCTCAGTCTCCTCTTCTCCAAACTACAGAGACCCAGCTCCCTCAGTCTTTCTTCATAAGGGAGATGCTCCACTCCCTTAATCATCTTTGTTGCCCTGCACTGGACTCTCTCCAGCAGCTCCCTGTCCTTCTTGAACTGAGGGGCCCAGAACTGGACACAATATTCCAGATGCAGTCTCACCAGGGCAGAGTAGAGGGGAAGGAGGACCTCTCTCGAACTACTAACCACCCCCCTTCTAATACACCCCAGGATGCCATTGGCCTTCTTGGCCACAAGGGCACAGTGTTGGCTCATGGTCATCCTGTCGTCCACTAGGACCCCCAGGTCCCTCTCCCCTACACTGCTCTCTAACAGGTCGTTTCCCAACCTATACTGGAACCTGGGGTTGTTCCTGCCCAGATGCAGGACTCTACACTTTCCCTTGTTATATTTCATCAAGTTATTCCCTGCCCAACTCTCCAGCCTGTCCAGGTCTCGCTGGATGGCAGCACAGCCTTCTGGCGTGTCAGCCACTCCTCCCAGCTTAGTGTCATCAGCAAACTTGCTGATAGTACACTCAATTCCCTCATCTAAATCGTTGCTGAATATATTAAATAATACTGGTCCCAGTACTGACCCTTGAGGCACTCCACTAGTTACAGGCCTCCAACTAGACTCCACCCCATAGACTACAACTCTCTGGCTTCTCTCCTTCAGCCGGTTCACAGTCCACCTCACTACCTGATCATCCAGTCCACACTTCCTCAATTTAGCTGTGAGGATGCTGTGGGAGACTGTGTCAAATGCTTTGCTGAAGTCAAGGTAGACCACATCCACCACTCTGCCGTCATCCATCCACCGTGTTATTTCCTCATAAAAGGCTAAGAGATTGGTCAAACATGATTTCCCCTTGATGAAGCCATGTTGACTGCCCCTCATAACCCTCTTATCCTTGATATGCCTTAAGATGGCACCAAGGATAAGGTGTTCCATCACTTTCCCAGGGATGGAGGTGAGGCTGACCGGTCTATAGTTACCCTGATCCTCCTTCTTGCCCTTTTTGAAGACTGGAGTGACATTTGCTTTCCTCCAGTCCTCAAGCACCTCTCCCGTTTCCCAAGACTTGGTAAAGATGATGGAGAGTGGTCTAGCAATGACTTCTGCCAGTTCCCTCAGCACCCGCGGGTGCATCCCATCTGGACCCATGGATTTATGGATGTCCAGATTGCTCAACTGGTCTCTAACCCATTCCTCATCGACTAAGGCAAACCGCTCCGTTGACCTGACTTCATCTAAGGTCTCAGGGGTACAGGGCTCTTCAGGACTGCCTGCAGCAGAGTAGACAGAGACAAAGAAGGCATTCAGTAACTCTGCCATCTCTGTATCTTCTGTCACCAGGGCACCCATCCCGTTCATCAGTGGGCCTACATTGCCTCTGGTGTTAGTTTTGTCTGCCATGTATTTGAAAAAGCTCTTTTTGCTGTCCTTGACCCTTCTCGCCAGGTTTAATTCTAAGGAGGCCTTAGTCATCCTAGCTGCCTTCCTACATCCTCTAGCAGCAGCCTTATATTCCTCCCAAGTGGCCAGCCCCTCCTTCCATGACCTGTAAACTCTCCTCTTCCACTTGAGCATACCCAGCAATTCCCTATTTAGCCACGCAGGTCTCCTGGCCCTCTTCCTTGACGTGTTGGGATGCTCCGATCTTGAGCTCGGAAAAAGCAATCCTTGAATGTCAACCAACTATCTTGGGCCCCTTTACCTTCAAGCAGCCTTGCCCATGGGATTTCCCCTAGCAATTGCTTGAAAAGGCTAAAGTTTGCCCTGTTAAAGTCCGGGGTTGCAATTCTACTTGGTATTCTACTAGTCCTACCACACAAGATCCTGAATTCCACCATCTCGTGGTTGCTGCCACCAAGGCAGCCCTCAACCCTTACTGCTTCAACCAGATCCTCCTTGTTAGTGAGGATGAGATCCAGCAGCGCTCCTCTCCTGGTTGGCTCATCCACCATTTGCAGGAGGAAGTTATCATCCATACACTGGAGGAACCTCCTGGACTGTGGCTGGGTTGCCGAGTGGTCCTTCCAGCAAACATCAGGGAAGTTAAAATCCCCCACTATGACCACGGCCTGTGACTGTGAGGCCGCTCTCAGCTGCCTGTAGAAGGCCTCGTCAACTTCCTCACCCTGATCTGGTGGTCTGTAACAGACACCTACAACAGTATCCCCCCTGCCAGCCTGCCCCTTAATTCTCACCCACAGACTCTCAACTCGCTCGTCATTTGTCCCTGGACAGAACTCGGTGCATTGTAGTTGCTCCCGCACATAAAGAGCAACCCCAATACTTAATAACTTACTTAATAACAGCACGTTTCACACTCATGAATAACCTGGGCAATAGTGTCCATTGCTAAGTCCACCCGTCAATCATGAGTCCATCTATATGTTGCAGCTCTGCCCTGATGGCCTGTAGTGTCATGGGCCCACCAGGCTCAAAATAATACACCCTTCCCTTCAGAAGTTACTGCAACGTGTCAGCTGGGGACTTCTTACAGCTGCCTTCCATCTCCAACGCTTCCAAAGCACAGGAGGGGCCCAGTGGAGTAGGTACTCGCCCATACTGTCCCACACACCCTGCAACTCACGACTGACCAGCCTCGGGGAAAATCTCTTGGTCCTCCTTGGTCAGAGTTTCTGAGTCTCATGCTCTGCCAGGGAGGAAGCAGACAGGACACATGACACACAAACTGGCCAAAGAGATATTCCATACCACAGCACGTCATGACCAGCATAGAAACTGGGGGCAGTTACCCAGAAGGTCAGGACCACTGCTTGGGTCAGGGTGGGTATCGGTTGGCAGGTGGTGACCAGTTGTATTCTCTTCCCTTGTTATTTCCCTTATCATTATTATTATTGGTGGCAGCAGTAGTGGTTTTGTGTTATACTTTAGTCACTGGACTGCTCTTATCCCAACCTGTGGGAGTTGCATTCTTTCAATTCTCCTCCCCATCCCTCCGGGAGCAGGGGGGGAGAAAGGGGGCGGGAGTGAGTGAGCAGCTGC